CGTGCGCCGGGCCTCTAGTGTGTGTGTGTGCGTGTGTGTGTGTGTGTGTGTGTGTAGGTAGAGAGAGAGAGACAGAGAGCGAGAGAGAAAGAGAGATCGAGATCTGAGGCTGCACACCAGAGGGAGAGTAGAATAGACTACACATAATTAGTTCAGAGCTAGGTCAATGCAAACATCAACCCTCTGGGGTGCACAATGCACTTCCCAAACATCCTGTTTTCCACAACAAAGTCTGATACATGCAGAGAAAAGTGTGATCCAGGTAGTGGCAGCTGCAGTGAAGGGCCACATGTTGGACTTAAGACTTCAAAGCAAGCACTGCAAATAAGGCCACAGAACTGAAAGAGACCGTGCCTACAGAACTACAGGAGAGTACAATGACATCTCATCAAACAGAGACGACCAGGAAGAGAGAGAAACTATTAAAACATAAAATAAAATCCTGGAGTCAAAAAGTAGTGATCAAAATGAATAATTTCACTCAAGAGATTCAAAACTAGATTTGAGCTGGCAGAGGAAAGGATCAGCAAATTTAAAGGAAGATTGATAGGGATGATGCCATCTGAAGAAAGAGGAAAAGAACAGAGCATGACAGAAAAATCAATAGAAATAAATTTATAGAATAGGCTTGCAGAAGTGAAAACAAAGGCAAACCTGACTGAAATGGAGTGACCAGGCCAGGAGGGGAGATCCAGCCAGTACCCACCTGACATCAATTACAGGAAAATAGTCAATTACAGACTCCAACAGAAGAATCCTCCACAGGAAGGAATCACCAATTACAGGCCCAACAAGAAACGCTGTACACGCTGAACACGGCATCTCCTACAACAGGGGTGGGGAACCTTTTTTTCTGCCAAGGGTCATTTGGATATTTATAACATCAAAATTATCAACTTAAACGGACTCCCCAGCATCTCAGCCCATGAGAAACGTCACCTCCCTGAACTCCCCCTTTTCTCTCATGGCCTTTCGTTCAAAACAACCCTTCTAGCTTTCTCCGTTTTCTCCATAAAATAACTCTTCCACTTTGTTAGACTTGCCTGCAGTTTTTGCTGTAGCTAGCTTTCCCAAATTCCAATTCTTTGCTGTTCCCAAATTAAACGATTTTTGCCAGTAAGATAACTTTTATATTTAAGGGCAATGTGGAAAAATGAATGGCTTCTTAGAGTACCTTTAAGCATGCCAACATAAGTAATGGAAGTACCAGATGAAGAGACAGAGAGGGAGATAAAATATTCATAGAAACAATGGTGGAAAACTTGCCAAATTTAATGGAAAACACTAACCTACACATCCAAGAAGCTCAATAAACTCCAAATGGATAACGAACTCCAGACAGAATAAACACAAAGAGATCTACATCAAAGCACATTACAGTCAAAATACTAACCTTGAAAGCAGTAAAAAACAAGCAAACAAACAAAAACAGAAGATGATTCATCACAATGGAGTGCACCCCTATATGATTAACAGCCGACTCCTCATCAGGAACAATAGAGGTCAGGAGGCAGTGCTATGGCATAGGCAAGGCGTTCAAACTATCTTTCCAAAATGAAAGTAAAATAAATACAGTCCCAAATAAATCAAAGCTGAGAGAATGCGTTGTTCACAGACTTGCCTTCTAAGAAATACTAAGGATGTTTTTTTTTTTGAAAGCAAATGATACCAAACAGTTCAAATTCACAAAAACAAAACAGGGAGTCTAGAAAAGGTAAACACGTGCTAATTATAAAAGAATAATCATAACTTCAGGCTGGGCTGTCACATATAGAGAAGTGGGCACAAGTAGGTTAAATTGCTAGGCATCGTAAGTAAGGATACAAAATAAAATCAAGAAGACAAACAATACAAATAAATAATACAACAATTAATAAATAAGTAATACAAGAATAACTGTGTTTCCTGAATTTGCAACTATAAACCTACTTTTGTCCACCCCTGTATAGATACAATTTGTCTAACAATATAGCAGGACAAGGGTGACAGGGAATGAAGCTGTACAGATTCGATCTTTTACTGGAATTAAAACGTAAATACTGAAATATATCGAGGGCCCTACAAAGGACAACCGTTGTCAAAGAGTCTCTCTATGACCAAACACTGCTCAAGCTCCTCTGCGATTTCCTCAACTTTTCATAACACCAAAAGCACAAGCAACAAAAGAAAACAAGATAAATTAGACCTCATCAAAATTAAAACCTTTGTGCTTCCAAGGACAGTATCAAGAAAGTAAAAAGACAACTCACAAAATTCAAAAAAATATTTGCAAACCATACATATCTGATTGCCGGAAGCCTGTCCATCCTTGCTGGTTGACACAGTCACTGCAGGGAAGAAACATCTGCACAGCATATGTTTCAAGGGGCCTGGCGTATACGGCGTACTGTTCTTAATATGTTTGCTCCCCTACTTAGCGCTATGTGTTTTAACCAAGGTCACCTCTCCAAGAAAGGTTGTTTCCCCAGGTGGGGATTTTTCCCTGGAGTTAGGGATTAACAGGACTAAGGAAGGGAATAAATCAGTAAAACCCCTTAACTAAGTGCCAGGCAGGTAATCACTTTAACTACGATCAATCACACTTAAGCTACATAATCTTTACTTAGGATAATCTCCTTCAGTTACTTCCTTGTAGCTTAACAGAACAATAAAGTAGTGACCTTGGAATCGAGATAACAAACGCCCTAATCTTTGGAATAGAATGGATAGGATTAAAATCAACTGGTATAAATACAGATGTAACAGGAGAATAAATATAGAACCTGGCTAGAGAACCTGACTGGAGAACCTGACTAGAGAACCTGACTAGGCTGCTGATCAACTGATCGCTGTCTCCGTGTCATTCCTTCTTCGCCAACTCCATCCACACCTTTGGGAACCCCTGGACCTGCTGGGGCTGGACCCCAACATCTGATAAGGGCTTGCCATCCAGAATATATAAAAAACTGTTAAAACTCAACAAAAAGACAAACACAAATTTGAAATGGGCAAAGGACATGAACACACATTTCTCTAAAGATATACAAATAACCAACAAGCTTATGAAAAGATACTCAACATCAAATGCAAATCAATGAAATACCATGTCACACCCACTAGGATGGCTATAGTAAAAAAAGGCAATAACAAGAGTTGGTGAGGATGTGGAAGAATTGGAACCCTCATGTATTGCTGGTGGGAATGTAAAACGGTGCAGTCTCTGTGGGAAATAGTCAAGCAATTCTTTTAAAAGTAAAACTTAGCATTCTGTACCACCCAGCAATTCCAATCAATAAATCCACTGGAAGCTCTGTACAGGAATGTTCACAGCATTATTCCCAATAGCCAACATTTAGAAACAACCTAAGTATATATCAACTTATGAATGGACAAACAAAATGTGGTGGGTATGGTACACTACACCCATACAATGGAATGTTTTTCAGCCATTTAAAAAAAAAAAGAATGCTATAAAAATAATACTATGAGGAACCTCAAAAGTATGCTAAGTGAAAGGACCCAGATATAAAAGGCCACATATTGTATACTAGAGGCCTGGTGCATGAAATTCATGCACTCGGGGGGAAGGTCCCTCAGCCCGACCTGCACCCTCTCGCAGTCCAGGACCCCTGGGGGATGACCACCTGCTGGCTTAAGCCCGAAATCCCCAGGGATCAGGCCCAAGCTAGCAGTCAGACATCCCTCACAGTCCAGGGTTCTCGCAGTCTGGGACCCCCTCGCTCCTTACCACTCACCTACAGTGGAGGCAGGAGAGGATCCTGCCACCACCACTGCACTCGCCAGCTGTGAGCCCAGCTTCTGGCTGAGCAGCGCTCCCCCTGTGGGAGTGCACTGACCACCAGGGGACAGCTCCTGCGTTGAGCGTCTGCCTCCTGGTGGTCAGTGCACATCATAGTGACTGGTCATTCTGCAGTTGTTGATTTGCATGTTAGCCTTTTATTATATAGGATTATATAGGATTCCATTTATATGACATGTGCAGAACAGGTAATCTATTGAGACAGAAAGTAGAAACATGGTTGCCTCAATTATTGATAATAGGGATTGCTTTTTAGGGTGATGAAAATGTTCTTAAATTTGTAAAAATATCAACTCTGAATATACCAAAAAATACCCAGTGAATAGTCCACTTTAAATGGGTGAATTTTATGACATGTTAATTATATATCAATAGTTTTTATAAAATCCGGAACACTGGTACCAGACCCTAGGTTCAAACATCAGCTCCTCCATCAGCAGCTAAGTGTCCTTGTTAGTTTAAACACTCAGCTTTTTCATCTGCAAAACAAGGGTTAGGGAAGTGGGGAAGATATAAAGTGACTGGCACCTGAAGTGCTCAATAAACATGGCTGGTCTCAAAGCCTTGGTCCACCTGGTTTGTCGCTTTCCCCCTGCCAGCCCTTTGGGTGCACACTAAATGTTTCCACAGCAGCCCAAGGGTCAGCCACTGATCAACAAAATGTAGTCTACCCATACCATAGAGGGTCATCCTGCCACAAAAGAATGACACACTCATACACACAAGGTACAATCTGAATGAAGGTTGAAAACATGAGAAGTCTAAGAACCCAAACACAAAAACCGCATCGATGACTCCATCCATGTGAAATGTTCACAGGAGACAGAAAGTAGATCAGTGGCTGCTCAGGGCAGAGTGGGAGGGGAGGGGTGACTGCTACATGGCAAAGGGTCTCTTTTCAGTCCCCTCCTCACTTTTTCATTAACTTTGGAAATTTCCTTCCTATTCCTAGATCAGTAGGGACTTAAAAAAAAAAAAATCTGCCATATCTGTGTGGCATTTATGTTGTGGTGGTGTTACCGGGAAGTGGCCTGGTCCTGAGCAGGTCTGCCTAGGGTCAGCCTATAGTGTGCGGGTTCTTCGTGCAGGAAAAGTTTCACAACACGAGTGCAGGTGAATTTCAGAAGATGTTTATTAAAGCTGGGGACAATGAAACAAAGGAAGAACTGGGGAAATGAGCCTAGGCTCATTCTCTTAACTTCATCTGTCCTTAGGTATGGTTGGCATGAATGGCGCTAACTGGATTTCTGTTACCTGTCTCCCTGAGTAGGGTGATTTAAGCTATGTACCCTCTGCTTGGGGAGAAGTGCAAATCATCCTATCCTATATAATAAAAGGCTAATATGCAAATCGACCCAACGGCAGAACAACTAGTAGCTATGATGCACACTGGCTACCACGGGGTAGATGCTCAATGCAGGAGCTGCCCACTGGTGGTCAGTGTGCTCCCACAGTGGGAGCACCACTCAGCCAGAAGCCGGCAGCACTAAGGATGTCCAACTGCCAGCTTAGACCAGCTACCCATGGGGAACGGGCACAGCCATCAGCCGGCCATCCCCTGAGGGCTCCCAGACTGTGAGAGGGCACAGGCAGGGCTGAGGGACTGCCCCCCTCCCCGCCTCCGTGCATGATTTTCATGCACTTGGGCCTCTAGTCCTAATCTATATGTAAAAGCCTAACAAGCAAATTGTCCCCTGGACTGGGAGTTGAAAGAAAGTTGACTGGGCCGGGGCCTTGGGCCAACCGCAGGAAGGGAGGTCCCAGCCGGCAGCCCAAAGCTGCTAGGGTCCCTACCCATGCACGAATTTCATACCCTGGGCTTCTAATTTACTCATAAGTGTCCTGGTTTAGAGAAGAGAGAATTTACTAGCTAGCTGAAACTGCTTGGCACCTTGATTTTCTAGATGGCTGCACAGTGCTAACTGTCTCCGTTTCCCTGTTCCACTTGCCCTGGCTTACTGGCCTGTCTCAGTGGGAGGTGCCTGGTTCTCGCACACCTCAAGGCTGGGGCAAGTCAACCCTACCAGCCATCTCAACGTGGGAAGAGCCTGGAGGCCCCCAGACCTCGCGGACGGAGATCACACAGCAAACACCGCGAGGGCAGGCCCTGGTCGCAGGAGACCGGCCTGGGGAACCACAGGGCCGAAGCCAGCACGGGACCC